CCAAATTAACGAGAAAACATTACGTAAATACAACCACCCATTACCAAAAAATTAATACACGTTACGAGATACTAATTAACAACGTTACTCCGATACTTGATTAACAAATCTCCGTTACATCCACGTACTAAACGACACTTTACGCGTAATTAACTAACAAATTACCGATCGACGAAAAAACATTCGTCACCACCGATACAGCGACGTACAACGACAAAAATAAATCTTTATTCCAAATACGTTGCAAAAACATTTTACGCGCTGAGAAACCTTCCTTCTCCCGCTTCCCAGCCCGCCCGCAGACGTCGCTCCCGTCGCCACGCTCAGTCCTACCAACCCGCGTCACGCCATTTTCCTTCTCCCGCTCACCTCGTCCGACATGTTGCACCTCGTTGGATTGGGCCTCGGCGACCCCACCGACATCACCGTCAAGGGTTTGCAAACTCTTCGAAACTGCCAGCGTGTCTACTTGGAATCCTACACGTCCCTCTTGTCCGTCGATCTCCTCGACTTGGTACGTACGCTTTCGCTCCCTTTCTCTTCGCTACCCTCTCTACCGCCGTCGTTTCGTCCCGTCAGCAACGATTCTACGGATGCCCCGTCCTCGAAGCCGACAGAGAACTCGTAGAGAACAACCCCGACCAGATACTGCCCAAGCACCCCGACGAGAACGTTGCCTTCCTCGTCGTCGGCGATCCCTTCGCCGCCACTACGCACGCGGACCTCGTCTTGCGAGCTCGGCGGAAAGGTGCCAAGGTACGAACCGCCCGCTCTCTTCCGTCCTCGTTCCAACTTTTTCTCCTCCAGGTAAACGTCGTTCACAATTCCTCCATCTTCACCGCCGTCGGCTGTTCCGGCTTGCAGTTGTATCGTTTCGGACAGACCGTCTCCATCCCTTGCTGGGACGACCGTTGGCGACCCGACAGCTTCTACGACAAAATTATCTCAAACAGACGCGCCGATCTCCACACGTTGTGTCTCTTGGACATCAAGGTGAAAGAGCCTACGACCGACAGTATCGTCAAGAGGAACAAGCAATACCTCCCGTCCCGCTTCATGACCGTCTCCGAGGCTGCTGCCCAATTGTTGAACCTTGTCCGAGAGAACAGCCGACGAATTCCCAACCAAGAAACAGGTAAACAGCCGTCTCTCGCTTCCCAGTCGCCGCGAACCACCTTTCATCCACCGTCCGTCTTGTCGTTTCGCAGCGCTCGACGAGTCCGATCTGGTGGTCGGCTTGGCTCGCGTGGGTTCCCACGATCAACGTATCGTCGCTTGCCCTCTCGGCCGAATGGCTTCCGTCGATCTGGGCCCTCCTCTTCACTGTTTGATCGTTCCTGCCGTCCAACTGCATCCCCTAGAGACGGAATTTCTACGCACCTGCGAATGAAGAGACTCTTCCGCCGATGAACGCACGAACGGAACACCCGCTCGTTTCCTCCGTGCTCTAATCTCCACCATCTCCCCGCTTTTAACCCTTTGC